GTTCTGTTTCCAGCCCTGTCTTCCACATGAACCAATGAGTGTTGCAGTCCAGCCCCATCCTGCCCGCTTCATACTCGGCTCTCACACAAACCATCAGGAGCTACAGCCTAGTTGAGGTGGTTCCCCATAACCCCCACCAGGCAGGGCTACAACACCTGTGGGCCTCATGCGAGCCAGATCAGGAAAAAGCCAGGCTTAGTTGACTGTCCCTACTGGTACAAACATAAAGCAGAGTGGGTGAGGGTTGGTTGGGCTTTGCTGCAGCATCAGATAGCAGATGCTGGCACCGGTGGCTAATCTGTCAAGTTAAACTACAGAACTATCCGGAAAGTACACGATCCGGGAGTGGGAGTGGCCTAATGGGGAAATAGTGGGTGCCTCTCTCTTGGGTTACCACTCCCACTGGAGAGCATGAAAACCAGGACGGGGGGGGGGTGGCTAGACAGAACGGCACCTGCCAGCATGTGTGTGGGCTGGATAGTAGGGCAGGTTGTGTTGAACTAGGCTTCAGTGCCCACTGACATGTATGAGAGCTGAGTGGGATGTGGGACAGACTGAACAAGTCTGTGGTACATATTGGCAAACACAGGAACCAGGGCAGGGGGCAGGCCTGGTGGGGGTTATGGGGAGCCACCTCGACTAGGCCGCAGAGAGTCTACGTGACAAAGCTAACACTTTTCTTTCAAGCTCTAGGTGAAATTTTACAAGGGAGGTAGGAATGAATGCCTCAAGGCTTAGTCACAATATTATAAAAACTTTTAAAAGGCATTTGAGAGGATATAATGTTTCCTTTCATATTTAGGGCAAGAATGGCTAGAGGTAGCAAATGATAATATGCCTCTCTGTTCAATCTCTCAGCAGATACAGAAAAACACCCCTATTTCACAGGAGAAGGAATACTGAGACGGAGCCGTGCAGACGACCATTCTGCTTGGGAAGCCTTCTCTCTTTTGCGGACCCAGGAGGTGTCAATGTTAACAAGAAATTGATGTCTCTCTGTTGCTCAGCGGTGTTTGTGCCATCCCCACCAGCACGCTTCCCCGGAGCAGGCTGGTGGGTAACAACATCTCTGAATAACCACAATTCAAAATACTAAGGAGCTCAGAAGGTCATTTTTGAGGGTGACCTTGACAGAAGAACTTGATGAACTAAGGCATTTACTAACTATATAATAGGTGAGTTTATTTTATTGGCTAAGTAAAGGGACTTAATAGGCTGTTCTTCACTGTGTCAAAAATATACCCACCCAGCCATTAAAATTAGTAGAGGTTTCATCCAGTTCTTCTAAATCTGGATTCTCCACTTACAATGCTCTTAAATAGTGGGGACTTTCTGCCAAGGTGGATAGATTCCAAATGTCAAATAGGTCAGTAATAAAATGGAAAGCTCAGCGAGACTTTAAAAGAGACATTTAAAATGGTTTTTGTAAAAAATGGGATTTAGCAGAGAATAACTGGAACATACCGTGAAAAGACTACTATAGTTAAATACATGAATATTAACAGAAAAAACCCTGCAGTGTTCATAAATAGTTATGATTTGATGAAATAATTACAAGTAATGCAAGTCAAAGATTTAGATCAGTTAGAAGTATCTGCTTTCCTAAAAAGGAAAAATATTTTGCCAGTCCTAAGGGTTCTGCTGGGAAGGCTATCTACCCCAAACAAAGAATTCTTTTGCTCGAACACTTACCACTTTTAATTTTTTTACAAATGAAAATTGGGGAAGGAGTGCCAGAGGGAAGGACAGAGGAGTATTTAAACATTAGGACCACCATTAAGTCCACATCTTGATCTAATCATATGATAGTTTAAACTCTGAATTTATTGCTACTATTAAATGAAGGGTTCTGTGGTCAGTCTGGAAAAAAAGATGAGGGAAGTTAAAGCCTGGTGGGTAATAAGCTGAGGTGCACTGTCAAAAGATGTCTGGAATCCTGTTTCTGTACAGCTCACCTCTAGGGAACAGGGTAAACACCACTGCTGCTGCCTGGCATGTGTGGTTTAATCTCAAGCAGTACTTCCCCATTTCTCACTTCAAGGAAGCAGCAAAGAAACAAATACTGTCTGTAGTCAATCAGGTACAAGCTGTCTGAGAAGAGGTCTGAGCACTGCAGCTCTGTCCCAGACATGGGGCACGCAAGACTGACAGGCCTTCCGTGGCAAAGGCTGGGGAGATGCAGGCTGGGGTGGGCACCATGGCACACACTGCTGTGCCCACTTCCCCACTGGAGTGGGTGCAGTGCCCAGTTCCTCTGCTTTCTCTGAATGGGTGGGACACAGCAAAGCACAGGTTTGAGTTATATTAATTTTGTGTGTCTATGACACAATTTTTTTCAAAGACACAATTTTTTCTTACAATTCTAGAGACAGGGCCTAAAAATAAGCTACTTTCTTTTTAAGGTTCTTGGAAGGAATCCTAGCTTGCCCCTTGTAGTTTGTGATGGCTACAGGCAATTCTGGCCTCCACTTCCAGTGTTGTTTACTGTTAAAATACATCCTAGGGGCAGCACAAGATGGCTAAAGTTCTTGGGTTCCTGCTACCCAAGTGCAGAGACCTGGACAGAGTTCCTGGCTCCTGGGTTTGGCCTGGTCCAGACTTGCCTGCTGAGGTCATCCAAGGAGAAAACCAGTGGATGGAAAAGCTCTCTCCCTTAGTCTTCCTCTGCCTTTTTGTCATGTTGTCTTCCAACAACAACCAAAGTACAGGATGAGTATTCATCTGGAACCTGTCCCCACCAAGTCCCCAACTAAGTCCATGTGCCACAATGGACTGTACTTCACAACCACGAGCATGCACAGATTTTTCTTTTTCCTTAAAGAAATTGTACTTGCACTTCTTTCAAGAGAACTTATCGGTTTTAATTAATGATTCTTCAGAAGAAATCCACTTTACAATATAAAGCACAAACAAAATATATCCTACTTCCTTTAGCTAGTACCTTTGCTAAAAATCTACATGATCTTTCTACTTTATGAGACCAGAGGTAATAAAACAGAGAGAACCTCTTATTTTGAAAAGCTTCTTGAATTAAGAAAATGGACAGTAATTTATGTAACTGTATCAATCACAATTGGCTTCTTTAAAATGGGCAGGAATAAATAATGTAGATCACTTCCCCCCGCTTTCAGATAACAAATCTAACTCTTTGCAAGGATATGGCAAGGGCTCTGATGGAAATGGCAGGGATGTGTATACAAAGGTGAACATTAATGTGTGTATGAGCAACATAGAAGCTGAGCACAGACACAAACAGGTCTAAGACTGGACAGAGACGGCTGGCAAAAGAAGGAAACACACTGGCTTAGTTGGAGCCCAGAAATCAATGATAGGGGTTTAATGGTCTGAAAAAATCTGACAGCAGAATTTTACCTCCTTCTTGAACAATTCAGAAAAACGTATTCTTAAAACATAATAAATGATACCACAAAACAGTCTGCTATTTAGGGGATAAAATAAAAGAACCAGGATCCTCAAGGAGGGAGAATGCTTAGGAAACATTTTAAAAATATCTGAAGCTGCTTAAAATCTATTATATTGAAGTCAGAACCCCAATATGTCTACTTCCCTCTGGAAAGGAGAAACTACGCCTCCTCAATAATCCCCTAAATGCAAAGAGGTTTGATCCCCTTGCAATGGATAAAAGTCACCCAAAAATGAACAAAAGAGGTGTTTGGAAAAACCAGAACACCATTCATCCCAGCTAACGACTTGTTCATTATGAGTGATGATGGATAAAGACTTCTCACGCTGAGATGAAATCAAGATTTATATGCATTGTTTCCTCTCCCAACTTGTGGGAAGATCATCATCATTTAATTCTATCTCTGCGGCCAGTGATGGGCATCCAGAGAGCTGGTTATCAAACGGCGCAGTCAGCTGGCAAAAGCCGAAACGTGCAGTTGGCACATCTGGACGGAGCCGCCACAGCCGAGGGTGAACAATGACTCCTGGCAAGCATCCAAATTGCTTGCAGACGCTAGCAGGTCTCATCTACAACCGCCCCTACCAGCATCTCTCTCTCTCTCCCTTTTTTATGAGAATCAGATTTTCATTGCTCCATTCAATTGCTCTCCTCTGCCATTTTTTACAGCTCTTATCGTTCCCCGGGAATATGGCCTTGAGACAGCTCATCCGTGTCCTTCACTGTGTTATCTCTTCTAACTTTTATTAAAACTTCAGCTTTCATCTGTAGATAGCTAATTAAATCTGGAGCAGATTATATGCCTCCCCTTAAAGAGAACACAAAACTATTTTCTTCCACCTAAGCAATGCTTTCTCCATTCCCGAAAGGTGAAATCAAAGGTGTTTAAGAAATCTCTTTATGTACAAAGCTATCTGACACATACAGGTTGACTGATATTAATGTTAACAGTGCTATGACAAAGCTTTGAGCTGTTTCAAAAATAATTATTTCTCAATACTGGCAATATTTTTTAATATCCTTTAAACATCATAGCTAATACCATGATCCTATTTTCTTCATTAAATTGGGTAATGAGGAGGTACAGATATAACATATATTTATGCACATCAAGTAATTTACTTTTTTATTCTAAAGGTTGTTCTCACTAGGTAAAAATGGAAGAGAATTTTCCCCTCCTTCACACTGTTAATACTAACAACTAAAAATTTTGAAAAATTGTGTGAAAACATGAAATTAAAAGCAGTGACTCAAGTTCAGGATTGATTCAGTTATCAAGACATCTTTATAGCAGCTAATCCTTAGTACAAATAGCTCTGTCTTAATCTACTACAGATTATTAAGGACATCCATCCATAAGTGGTCTGGACATATTCTTCTCACATATGCTACTGACCTAGTCCCTTCCAGAGGCCCAAGTCAGCTGAAAAACCTCCTCCCCACTGTTTGCTCTAAATCTGCTAACCAAACCCTGTTCAGCACTGACACCAGACATGCATCCTGTCTCTCACACCCCCTAAGCCTTTCCAACTAAGGGTGAAGCTTCTATCGTCAAGGTATGACTTAACTATCCCACCTGAAATCTTCTGAGATCCTTTTCTTCGTTTCACTGCCTTTAGCAAGATTTCCTTCATGGTGACCTTTGTGTTGTCCACCTGAATAAGGGAGAATCCATGAGCAGCATTTCTGCAGGAAGAGACAAATATTCAATCATCACCGACAGTCACCAGAGACGACGTGATGATCTTCACAGTATATCAGAACGTCGTAAGGTAAAGGTAACTCAAAGTGCCAATTATTTTAAAACAGTTTGAATAAATCTGCTAATTGAGGGTATGTGGGGTGGGGGTGGGGGATCCCAGTGCATACAGCTCCAAGTGAAAGAGAGGTCAGGGTTAGAAGGTTTTTTTAATTTACCACAAATTGAGCCTAATTGGTCTGTGTGGGTCACTGGTACCTCAGGATCTTAGTGTTGGCTCTCAACCAAGTCCCACAGCAAGGACTGACAACTGGTAAACTTGGCTTGTGTCAGTAGATGTCACTGCAGGCAGACACTACAGTTATAATAAGCTCAGGGATCCCAGGAAGAAAATGTCATGGCGGTGTGTGTGTGTGTGTGTGTGTGTGATCCTAGAGGGATCTGGCGTGTAGAGAAGCAAAGGCTCTTCCTAACTGGCCAGGAACATGAGTACATGTACATATGGAAGCATACAGTTCCTATATATTACAGTAAGAATGGCTTCACTATTAGTTCTAGACAATCAAAATACTAACTGAAGCACAGCTGTAAGACAAAATACTAACAATATACTTCTAAACGTAATTAAACTGGGAGGGGAAAAGGCCTTCATCTACAGAGGGAGGAAACAAGCCAAGGCATATGTTTTCTCTGAGCAGAAGTCCATCTCCTGGGTGAGGTATAACTTCACCAAGACTAGTAATTGCAAAAGCAAGTATCACAAATACTACTCACTGTGCTTGGGCACTGGAACAAAACAGGCCAATTCCAAAAAGCTCATGTAACAATCGGGACCCAAATTTCCAACCACGGGACATGGGAATTGCCACAAGGAGCTTGGTTGCATTCCCACTTCCCCATAAGAATCTCAAAGGGGAACATGGCCCAAAACACATGGCAGAATTTCACACTGACAAGAAATGTGAAGGAAAAGCCAAGTCCCAAGCTAAGCCCTGTACAGGCTTCCTGATAGTAGGACAGGCTAGGCAGGGGCCGTCAGCCATGGTTTGACCCAAACAGGAGGCTGGTTCTCCATGGGGGTCAGGGCCCAATCTCAAAACCAAGGACCCAATTTGCTTCCCTTAGTCCAGGGATGTCTCCCCAACCCTCCACTCCATACGGCTTGCTGTTTAATCTGCGACACTCCATTTGTTAAAAAGCAAAAGCCAGCACTGGTCTGGACAGCACAATCATCCATTTTAACTTGGTCAAGTTCTTGCTATCGAACAGCAGGCCTGAGAACTGTCAAGCTAATTTTACTGAACACTCTGTTACAGAATCATGCCTGAGTCCCAGCCATTCTTTACCTCTGAAGCTGGACCTCATCCCAGAACAATCTTTAGAAGTTTATTTTACTGATCAAAGCAAAATAAGAAATAGCTCTTAAAAAAAAACCCTATATTTAGGGAGCGAGGCAGTAAGTGATACTTGGCAAGAATACCGCGATGTAAAGTGCCCTGTGCATTTATAAACTAGAGGGTATTTGCACTGGCGCCAGGCCAGTGTGTGTTGGGAACTAACGCCAATCAAGCACGTTCAGTTTGCCCTCCCCGCTTTCTCCTCAGAAGTCGGTGTGCTCCATCTGTATGTTGGGCGACGGATGAGCAGGGCCTAACAGAGAACACAAGTTCTTCAGGACTCACCAACTAGTGCTGGCTCTGGCCTCCCGAGCCACCATCTGCCCTGCCTGGGTTCCCCCTGAGCTATCCCAGACTGTGGTCGGCTCGGAAACTGCATACGCTCTCCCCTAATCCGCTGTTGCCTGAGGGCATTATTGCGAGCCCACACATTTATCTTTTTCAGCAAAGCCAGACTAAAAGCTCAAAAGAAAGCCTGTGCTTGGCTTAACTTCCATAAATTAGAAGTGTCCTTTTAAAAGATTTTTGAACAGAGGAAAATCCCTAGTCTGTATTTTTCTGTCATTTTACCAAAACACACCTGGGTGACAAGGTTAAAGCAAGCAGAGGAAATCCCTGGCACTTATCATCCACAGGCATTACTGATAAATTGTATGGTGGAGGAATAAAGGATTACCTTCTGTATTTTTTCATTACACTTTTCTTTTGTTACAGAATACATAAATCCATTGTGGCACAATGTAATATGTATCACCACGCTACACCTGCGGACGCTTCCGAGCGGCTGCCATGTCTGTGCAGTCAGGAATGATAAGTGAACCACCCGTGAATGTTAACGATAGTGATCATTTCGAGGTAACTCGGCTCTCCATCTTCCTTTACAGCCTCTGTGCTGAAGCCAGGGTAGCAAGGTTCATGAGAGGAAAATGAAAACAACGGCGACGACAAGGGGCACGCGTGGCGCGCGGAATGTGCCTTCAGGAGCGCAGTGTCTCACTCTGGGGCTCCATTTCTGTAAAAAGGCGTGCAATACAAGGGGAAAGAGGCTGCACCTGTGTCCTGCACACTCTAGACTGGAAGGAAGTTGTGGAGGGTCTGACCTAGGCCTGCCCCTTTCCCTGCAGACCAACGCAATCCAAGTCTACAGCGTGGCAAGGAAAGGCACAGCGCTTCATCTCGGAGACTCCAGGGGCAAGAATGAGTTCCATTCCCAGCAGCCGCCCAGGTCCCACTGCTGGCTCACTGCAGGGCAGTCCGAGGGGATCGGAGACAGGTTCCTGCAATTCTCAGTCCGCTTGTACATGCCCTGGGCTTTACGCCTCCTTTCTTCACATCCAGGATTCTTTGGTGTGCTTTCTAGGATGTCTACTGAAACTCATCTTTTAATCCTGCTTTTATTTCATGCAATGCACTGGATCTGATGAGAAGACAGTGGTTGTGGTGAAATGCTGATGGTGGGACAAAGGGTGCTCCCAGCCCTGGTTCCCTGACTGAGCTCTGGCCTGTGTTGGGCGACCAGGAGGGGTTCCACCCAGATTCAGGGTCTGGACTCAGAAACTGCTTCAGGGGCCCCAGCAGAAGGGCATTCCGGGGGCACCAAGCAAAAGCAGCTGCCTGCACTGGGTCCAGAATGAAATTCCACTTTAGGGAGCTGACGGAATGCCGCCAGGAGTGCTTCAGTCAATTCAGAGCAAGGTCCTGTCAAGTCTTGTAACGCTGAAAAACGCACAGGCATTTTAAGAAGAGATTACTCACTCGAGGGATTCAGCTCTGTCCCCGTGCTCTGTTAGCACCGAGACGCTCTGCTACCAGCTGGGACCCATCATGATGGGCGTTCCTGTGCTCAGCAGGAAACCACCGGTGATGCTGACGCAGAGAGCTGCATCTCAACAGCCTGGACTCTATCCCAGGGACATGGGGTCAGCCACAGGACCCACGCTGAAGGGAGCATGGCAGAGAGGAAGGCTCATGAGCAGGCAGTGAACATCTTGGATCTGAACCCCACCGCCCCAGCTCAGGGCAACCTCTGTGAAATGAGAGGTTACTTCCCTACAAAATCACCTTGAGGATAAGTCATGAGGAGCAAGTGAAGTTCACCAATTAGTTGTCTTTCGTTTCCCTTGTTTCAAGTCATCACCCCAAAGGAAGTGGTCCTATTCAGCCCTCTCTGCCCTCGCTCCTAAGCAGAAAGTGTTTATTGGGGGATGGATTTCAGCAGTGATTGTATGTACACAGCAGCAAGGGCATTAAATGTGTGATTTGTAGGCTTGGTAGGTGCAGTTGGGGGGCCTGGTCAGAGTGGCCTCTGCGCCTGGCACGGACCCCTCCCTGAAACCCAAAGGGGAGCCTCCAGACTCTGTTATCTGCCTCTCATATTTGAGAAGTGAAAGACAAGTAGGTCTGTTCCACTTTAGCTTAACTCAATCATTTTGGAAAGGCATGACGGAAACAGGATATTATGGCAGTGTTGCCAAGAAATTCAGGGAGATTTATTAACAGTTTTTATTTACATAGTACAATTGTTCCCTGTTTAACAACTGCATAATAACACAGGCTAAACATCCATAATCCAGAGCCCCAATACCAGAAATGCTCCAAAATCTGAGTCTTGGAGTGCTGACATAATGCCACTACTGGGCAATTCCACCCTGACCCTGTGTGACAGTCAGTCAACATATTCTATCAAGTTACCCCCAGGCTAGGTGTAAAAGGTGTATCCGAAATACAAGTGAATTTCATGTGTGGACTTGGGTCCCATCTCCAAGATAACCCACTGCATCCTAGCAAATAACCCAAAGTCTGAAAGTGAGCACCTTTGGTCTCAGAAGTAGAAAAGGGATCCATAACCTTTATCAGCAATGATCACTTATTGAACACTGTTAAGTACTTTAAATTTGAAAAAAAAAATTGGGGGGGGGGCATGGGGCGTGGGCATGGGTGTGCGGTGCAATGGCTTGGCTTAGTGGCTAAAATCTTTGCCTATTGCATGCATTGAGATCCCATGTGGGTGGCATTTTGTGTCCTGGCTGCTCCACTTCCCATCTAGGTTCTTGGTTGTGGCATGGGAAAGAAGCAGAGGATGGTCCAAAGCCTTGGGATCCTGTGCCTGCATGGGAAACTCAGAAGTTCCTAGCTCCTGGCTTAGGATCAGATTGGCTCAGCTCTGGCTATTGTGGCTGTTCAGGGAGTGAACCAGTGGATGGAAGACCTTTCTCTCTGTATTTCCTCTCTGTAAATATGTCTTTCCAATAAAAATAAAATAAATCTTAAAAAAAATATCTGGGGGTAGGCACTGTCATGCAGTGGGTTAAGCCCCCATTTGGCATGCCAACATCCTTTACTGGAGTGCTAGGTTCAAGTCCTGGCTACTCCACTTTTAAGGCAGTTTTCTGCTAGTGCATCCTGGGAGGTGACAGTGATGGCTCAGGTGGCGTGGGCCCCTGCCACGCATGTGGGACTCTGATGGAGCTGTGGGCTCCTGACTCTGGCCTGGCCCTGCCCGAGCTGTTGTGGGTATTTGGTAAGTAAACCAGTGGATGGAAGACTACTCTGTCATTTTATTGCTCTGCACTCTGTCATTTTATTGCTCT